AGCGAGAAAAAAACAACAACAAAGTCCTACCTCCATCTTTGGGCTCAGGGAGCTCCTCCACCTTCAGCTCAAAGTCACTGTTTTTTGGGAAGCCGTCAAAGTGCTTAGTCATTACCCAGAACTTGGCTTGAACCATGATGCTTCTCTTGTATGGCAGCAGATATAGCTTTTAACTGCTTCTGTAAACATAAGAAGACATGAAAATCATCACCAGCCTTTTCACCACTCACAGGAAGTTCCTAAGTTCCTAAGATAATCAGCCAAAATACATTTTAGGGACACTGTGTAAATTAAATATTTCGCTGTACTTTGTTGATGGTCCTGACTCCCAGGCTGCTGCAGAGCCTTGCCCAGCTCAGAAGATGGGTTTGTGATTAAAATTTGAGTTGTAATTTATGTATTTTTTTTTAATTTTCCTAATGTAAATTCATTAGGAATGCTTAGCATGCTCAAAAATACACACATGTACAATCATACGACTTATAAATGAACTCTTTTGTCTCATACAAAGAAACTAGTGATGTGGCGGTCGCGAACGAAACGGCTATTAGAGCCGGCTCTTTGAAGTGAATGACGGGAGCCGTGGTTTTTTTCCCCCCTATCCTTTCTCTCACTTTTTTCGCTTCACGTCGCACGTGAGCCTTGTGTTTGGGCTGAGCAGAGGGGGGAGTTACACTCGAGGTAGCACAGGAACAGAGCAGGAGGGAAAGAGAGAGAAAGCCAGGGGCAACAACATCATCACATTAGAAAAGTATAGTAAAGAAAATGAGTTCCCCTCCTGGAAGCAACGTGAAGGATCTCATATATCTGATGTTACCAAACGAAGACGTCAGGCTTGGATAGCAGCGGCGAGACGAGCTGATATCGAGTTCTCTGCCATCATTCTTTGTTGGTGTCACATTTTCATTCCGGTAAGTTCTAAAGAAATTCATATTGCTCTTCATAGGCTTTTAGCTTTATTTTCAATGTGCTGAGGTCATAGAAAATTAGAACAAACATCCTAATGTGTGATGCCGCAGAACTATGTTCTGTTTATGGAGTAGCTTATCGGTGACAACTCCTCCAGAGTAGCAAGTGGAATTTGCCTTTTTTGTAGACGGCTCCTTTTTGCCTTTCACTGCAGACGGTGTGTTTATGTTTTCATCTAGAGCAATTTTTGGGGCAGCTGCTGAGGAGAAGTCAATGTTATGTGCAACCTCTGGCTGTATCTTGGTCATATGGTCAACCTACTCACAACGTGGAGGCTTAAAAACAGCCAAATCTTGTACCCAACCGTTTGTGGATTGGATGTGCGCCTCCAGGGATTTATAATTCCAAAAATGATTCGCCGTGTATGCGCTGACTCCACGGACAAGGTATGAGAAGGTATCAGGGTAGGACAATGGCGGTAGGTCTTCAGGGTTTCTACTCCACTGCCATATTTCATACGGGTCCACATTACCAATGCATGCTATTTTTTCCAAGTACCGTCTCTTGGCGTCCGGGCACAATTGGTCTCGATACAGTCCTTTGACTTTTGAGCTGCTTTTAAGCATGGTTCTGGCAGTATACCTTCCAACACAGTGTGTTTGTTTTGATTCGTGGCCTTCTCAAATGGTGCCGGGATCCCACAATGCATTGCGGCGTTACTTCAACTCCAAAGCCCTATTAGATAGTTTTTGCAGAAGTCTGTGACCCCCAGCAAGACAGAACTCAATGCTGGATATTTATCATTATTCAGGATGAAAAGTCTGATAGGAGTTTTCTGTCTTATAAAACTTTCTGAATCCTTTATCATCAGTTGTGGATGATAAAGGATTCAGAAAGTTTATTCATGCACCGAATCCTATGTATGCAATTCCAAGCAGGAAAACACTCTTCCAAAAAAAAAAATCATCCCAGAGAACGTGCATCTTTGGTTTTTTTTTGTTTGTTTGTTTGTTTTTTGCATATTTTAATTTATATTTTATTGTGTTGTGGTTTGCAGTGTTTTGTGTTGTTTCCCTTTAAATTTGTTTAAAAGGGAAAAAGCTTAAAATTTAAATAGTTAAAAGTTAAATTGTAAATAGTTGTTTTTTGTATTTTATAATTTATTTTTTACATTTTATGTGGAGTGAATAAATAAAAGCATATTTATATAATAAACATATATAAAGAAAAACATGTTTTTTTACATTAGTAATTCATTTTGTGTATAATTTTATATTGTTGTTGATAATAAATTAATTAAGCAACAAAATAACCTGAAGATCAGGTTGGGAGCCGAAGGCAAGGCAAGGCAAGTTTATTTGTATAGCACAATTCAACAACGAGGTGATTCAAAGTGCTTTACAGAGACATTAGAAACAAAAACAAATAAAAAGCATGATTTAAAATTGATTAAAACAAGCAAACAAACAAACTAATTAACAAACAAACAAAACAGTATATAAAATCAAAACAGATAAAATCAGAACAAGGAGGGTCTTTTTAGTGAGTCAAGCCGAAGGAGTCGGTTCTCTAAAAAGAGCCGGATTTCCCATCACTAAAAGAAACGGTTAAAGACTGATGTCAGCAGCTGGATCTCCAGTTTCGGGGGAAGGGGGGGAGGGTGGCGAGGACGAAGAGCTTGTATCTCCAAATCTGACTGGCTAAAAGTTTTGCGCCGCCTCTGACGCTAGTCATGCGTTGCAACGCGCGCTCCGTATGGATGTTTTGCCGCGAAAAAGCACGACTTGTTTATCTTTTTGGCGCCAAACGACTCGCTGACAGCCAATCCTTCTTCAGTGAAAATTGTACATTACTGTACTTCAGACATAGTTTGTCACATGAAAAAACCCCCAAAAAAAACAGCTTTAAAAAAAAAATCCACAGACAAGTTTCCAGTAAAAACACAAAGCATGTGGCTCTGATGATTTTTAAATATTTTATTTCACTTGGTATAAATGATCATTATTACTATTATTACGACTGTTATAGCTAAATTATTTTAAAAAAATTCTAACAAAAGAATTTCTCAAGTATGGGAGAAAGTGTCTTTTATTATCCCATAACACCTGTTTCTTCTGACTATAAAGTATCTGACTATAAACTATCTGATACTGTCACTATCGGATTATAATTTCCCAGATATTGTTATGGGAGCAGTAATTCATTAGGAATGCACAATTTCTTAGCATGCTAAAAAACACACATGTACAGTCATACGCACACACAAAACAAAGCAGGAAGCGTATCCTGCGGTTTTCAGTCGTCATAGACTTATAAATGAACTCTTGTCTCATACATGTACTTCGTAAAACCCACTCCAGCGCCCATGTTCTTTGGCAAATAATACTGACGCAGACTAACACATTAAAAGTGAGTTGCAACTCCCTCCTGTAGCTGCACTTCCTAAGTTCGCCTCTTCTACTGAAACAGTACAGCTGAGTAAATCCTATTATTCCACAAATAACGATATAGACTGGAGCCTTGCCTTACCGATGAAGTGTGTAGTGATGTGTCCTGTGTGTCGAAGCTTCGATACCTGTGTCGGGTAATCTCGGGGAAGTTTTTGTGAAGCGCGTGTCGAAGCTTGCTTTGATTACGTATGCAGTGACGTTCGAGGCCTCGCGGGCAGTCCGTACCACGTGACTGATTCAGGAACTGGCTCGCCGGTTCGCGCCAGATTCGAAATAAAATGGGCAGCAAAACACAGCTGACTCCCCATCACACTGTGTTGTGGAATTGGATTACGTACGTGCTACATAGTTTCTTGAGCATTTCTTCTTCGATGGAACCAGCAAGGAAGAGATTTTTTAAATCTCATCTCTTCTAATAAAGTATGCATATGCATACAGTAATAAATATCACAAATGATAAGTACCATAATATAAATAAACAACACTACAGATCCTATAATCTGATTTCTATCTTTTAGGTTTTTAAAAAAGTGAAGCGCCACACACTAGTTTGTGTCATTATCCAGATGTACATACGCATGATTACACAGTTACACAATCATACCAAAACTCTGTCCTGATAGTTTCCACTTTC